TTAATTTGGACTGGTTCACATCAGTGAAATGCTTAACTTCATAAAAAGGTAGTGGAGGGCAGTAGGTTAAAAAGTAAATCTCAGGGTTACTCTGGTTGGTTTATGTACAGACCGCACTTCTTGCTGCTCTCCTGGCAGGGTTAACAGGGAGAGAAGGAGCACAGAGGCACTATAGTGCACAGATCTACACAGCCACTGTCAGAGTCGGCAGCTCCTACCAGGACGCACAAAATCCCTGATCCCTTCCACATCTTTGCAGATCATTTACAGAGAAATCACCAGCAGCCCCTTCCCAATGTTTTGTACTATTTGATACCTCAGTGACTGATCTTGAACATCTCCTTCTGTAAAGATTTCTCTCTCCTTTTTCCTCCCAAGGAATGAGGAGTTTGTTGGGTTTTGGTCTACCCAATCTTTGCATAGCACATCAGCCTCTGGGAGGGCAAAACACAGTCTCTGTGCCCATCCCCGACTCATGAGCTGGGATGCATTGCCTCTTCCACTGTTAGTTTTTGGACATGGTCTCTTCAACCTGCCTCCAACTGGGACATTAAGTTTGAACACAGCTCCCTTAAATTCTCTGGAGCCCTGTAGCTAAAAATGGACATAGGAGTTTTTCTGTCGAAAGTTAACACACTGCCTGGAGAACTCCTTTTCCTCTCCCTAGTGAGAGCTTGCAGCCCAGATGATGGACACCTTCGTGGCAGAAGAGCAATGTGGGAGTGCGAGGCACCTCCTCTTCCCCCTTCAGACATCAGTGTCACAGAAATGGGGACGGCTGGCTCCTGTGGTCAGTGTCCCAGCCCACAACAGAAGACAGTAGGACCTCAAACGTGACTGGGGCTTCAGGGGGTGAAGGGACTTGACCTGGAGCCACAGACAAGTTCCCCCACACCCTCAGAAAGGAAGAGTGGGGGTGAGACCTTCCCTTCTGCCAGAGGAGGGTTTTGGCCTGGCTTCCTCACAAAACCAGGAATTGGAAGGACCCCACCAATACTTGTGAATTAAAGGTCTATTTCTGCCCCAGACTGCAAGCACATGTTGCAAACTAAAGTTCAGAAGCAAAGAGAACAAAGTCAGTTCTGATTTTCTCTTCATTTTTGAGGGGGAGGAAGACAGAAGAGACCCACTGACTCCTTGTTTTACCAGAGAAAGGAAAAGCTTTTAGAAATTAAGTTACCTGTAAACTTCATTTGGACAAGGAAGCAAAATATATATTTAACTAGTTTTGATGCTTTAGTTGTGTGCCATTGTGCAATAATTCATACTTACATTTGAATGTGCATCAGTAACTGTTAAGTTCCATTTTATGCCCAGATATACATTTAATAACTTAGAGGAAAAGGAAAGAAAAATCAATACAAACAAAGTATGTCAGAAAGTGGCCAAAAATAAGTTTATTTGCAAATCATTTTGACAATAAGGAAACAAGTATCTCTGAACTGTGCATTTTTGGGATTACATGTCAGTTCCTTTGTCTTCTGAGATTTGCATTTGCATACGATACGGGATACCTCTAGAATTCAAAATAAACTTTGAAGTGTACTTTTTTTGCTTCGCTGTGCTAAGTAATTCCTTCCACAGGCACACTACAGGAGAGTCAAAGTCTTTGTAACGAGAAGCCATCACAGGAAACGCACAATGACACAACCTTGGCTTAGAAAGGAAACTATTAAGAGAGTTGTTTCACATTTATTTAACGCAGCATCAAATGCTTCAGGATTCCCACAAGGCAAAGTGCCTCATGCTGTGCATAAATGGACAAACAAAAAACCCAATAAACCAACCCAAAGCAAAACCCAAGAAAACCCAAACCTCAGCAAACACCAACATCTATCCCTAAACAGCTATACTGAAATCTCAGATTTCTTTCCAATGCAAGAATGCACAGTATATCTGGTTATGACCCAAGTTACGTTCCCTCTGTTGGAAGCCAAAGAGCTGTGTCTCATGTAAAAGAATCAAGAGTTCAATATTTAATAAATGTAAATAAATGAACTCAGAACAAAGGTAACACAAAGTGAGAACTCATTTACCTTTGAGCACAACTGTGGTAGGGTAACCTCTAAATTACAGTTAGAGTCACAGCAGATGCAGAGGAAGACAGCAGTTATCTTCAGAACATTTCTTCATCTTACTTCCACCCTTCTTCCCAACTTTGCTCTGTCTTTCAAAAGCCAGGAGATTTCAACTCTAAAGTCACATTTTGAATTAAATCACACATAGAATCACACACAGAATCCCAAGGGTTGGAAGGGTCCTCAAAAGATCATCTAATCCAACCCTCCTGCAAGAGCAGGGTAACCTAGAGTACATCACACAGGAACTTGTCCAGGCGGGCCTTGAATATCTCCAACGTAGGAGGCTCCACAACCCCCCTGGGCAACCTGTTCCAGTGCTCTGTCACTCTCACAGTAAAGAAATTTTTCCTGATGTTCACATGGAACCTCCTATGCTCCAGTTTACACCCATTGCCCCTTGTCCTGTCACTGGACATCACTGAAAAAAAACTAGCTCCATCATCCTGACACTCACCCTTTACATATTTGTAGACATTGATGAGGTCACCCCTCATTCTCCTCTTCTCCAAGCTAAAGAGTCCCAGCTCCCTCAGCCTCTCCTCATAAGAGAGATGTTCCATTCCCTTAATCATCTTTGTAGCCCTGCGCTGGACTCTCTCCAGCAGGTCCCTGTCCTTCTTGAACTGTGGGGCCCAGAACCGGACACAATATTCCAGATGCGGCCTCACCAAGGCAGAGTAGAGGGGAGGAGAACCTCTCTTGACCTACTAACCACACCCTTTCTAATGCACCCCAGGATGCTGTTGGCCTTCTTGGCCACAAGGGCACATTGTTGGCTCATGGTCATCCTCCTGTCCACCAGGACCCCCAGGTCCCTTTCGCCTTCACTACTGTCCAGCAGGTCAGCCCCCAACCTGTACTGGTACATGGGGTTGTTCTTCCCCAGATGCAGGACTCTACACTTGCCCTTGTTGAATTTCATCAAGTTTCTCCCCGCCCAACTCTCCAGCCTGTCCAGGTCTCGCTGAATGGCAACACAGCCCTCTGGTGTGTCAGCCACTCCTCCCAGTTTAGTATCATCAGCAAACTTGCTGAGGGTACATTCAGTTCCCTCATCCAGGTCGTTGATGAAAATATTAAACAGCACTGGTCCCAGCACCGACCCCTGAGGGACTCCACTAGTCACAGACCTCCAGCTAGATTCTGCCCCATTGACCACAACTCTCTGCCTTCTTCCTTCCAACCAGTTCTTGATCCACCCCACTACCTGATCATCAAGCCCACACTTCCTTAGCTTATCTATGAGGATGCTGTGGGAGACAGTATCAAATGCCTTACTGGAATCAAGAAAAACCACATCTACCGCTCTACCATCATCCATCCACCTAGTTACTTGCTCATAGAAGGCTATAAGGTTGGTCAAACATGACTTCCCCTTGGTAAAACCATGTTGGCTGCTCTTAATGACCCCCTCATCCTTGATATGTCTAGAGATGGTGTCAAGAATAAGTTGTTCCATCACTTTTCCAGGGATGGAGGTAAGGCTGACCGGTCTATAATTACCCGGGTCCTCCTTCTTGCCCTTCTTATAGACTGGCGTGACATTTGCCATCCTCCAATCCTCAGGCACCTCACCTGTTTCCCATGACTTACCAAAGATGATGGAGAGTGGCCCAGCAATGACCTCTGCCAGCTCCCTCAGCACCCGCGGGTGTATTCCATCCGGACCCATCGATTTATAGATGTCCAGATTGCTTAACTGATCCGTAACCCAATCCTCATCTACCAAAGCAAACTCCTCCTTTATCCTGATTCCTTCAGAGTAAGTGTATTCTGAAAAGTATATATGATTAAGTTTGAACAGAATACATTAAACCTATCTTGTTTAAGGGGAAGTCCAAAGGGAACACCAGGAAACAAACAGTTATTCAGAGAGAAAATTAAAGAATCTGTACCAGATCTATTTTCAATAGAGTTCTAGAAAATATTTTTATAGCGAAGAGGGTCATTTTTTTTTATTTTTTTTCTTCTTTATGAAGCTCAAAATAATCCCAATATTTGACACTGGAAAAATATTTTTCATCTCTCCCATAAGTATAATAATGCAAGAAAAGATGCCTAGATGTCATTGTCACTACTTCAAATAAGGCATTAATGAATGCGTTAGATCATTTAAATGTAAATAAATGAATTTTATATATAAATAGGCTCAAAATATTAAACTTATAAGGGTAAACTAACCATTGTAATGGTGACAACCATTTCATTTAAGTATTTAGGCAACAAAAACTGGAGAGAATAATGAAGAGTCTTAGAGACATTATTTTACTTTGTTCTACTTTTGAAAGACTAAAACTAGAACCAACTGAAAGCTCTTCATCATCATTTCACAGGCAGTCCCACCATGGGGGTCTCCTCAGGCCTTCTGGGGAACCTAGTCCATCTTTATGGAATAAATACACTTGGTCATTCCACATCAACCCTTGCTGAAATGATCCTGAGAGCAAGGCCCAGAACCTAAGAACCTCTTTAAGCTGAATGCCCTAGTTAACATCACACTGCCTCCTGATCAAGCCAAAAACAGAGAGGGATGAAGAATTCAGAACAAATCTTCTGTTGGCAAACACTGCCCTCTTCAATTTCAACTCAACTATCTTCAAAGAACAGTAAGAATTTACAGTTACCTCCAGTGGTTATGCCCTCCCATTAGACAGCTCCAGTGCTTTACTCTTCTAAGCCCTGTGTATTCCTGTATTTGTCGTGTAGTCAAACATAATGAAGTTGAGGTTTACCGATTTCTGATTCAGGCCACAGAGATGCATTGCAGCAATTAAGATGTAGGTGCCAACATTCTGCATAGGCCCCTAGATTTCACGGTTTTAACAGTATTTTTGGCAAGACAAAAAGTTTGGAAAACCCTACCCTGAAAATCCACTATCTGCTGAGGAAGGATCCTATCTACTGAGAACATGAACTAGCTCTGAGTACACCATCTTTAATGACAACACTTTAAAAAGACTCAGTCTTACAAGTTTTGTTCTCTTACATATCTAGGTCTGAAACCTAGAAATGACCAGGGGTTTTTAGAAGTCTTGTAGAAGTGATCTGGCTTGCAAACATCATTAGTTTTGGCAGAATCATATTATATGAAACCTGTAATACACTTGCTAACGCTTAACCCAATGATCACTTATAAGAAGTATTATTGCATTTTAAGCGTAAAAATATAGGACGTTCTATAAAGAAAATTAAAATAGCATCCATCTAATATTGATAGTCATATAAAATAACTCACAATTATGTAAGTTTCCATATTTAATTACACATTTAAAAATAAGTTATAAAAATAATTAAACTTCTTTAAAACCCCTAAGTTATTGCCTTTTAGGAGTTTTTACTCATATCTACTGATTGTCTAACATCTGCAACAGCTTCTGGTACTCGAACAGTCATATTATCCATGGATTTCTTCAAGCAGATTTGGCAGCCTAAACGTGATCTGTAGGGAAATAGGACGTTGTCATTAGTTCTACCTGATCACATATCTAACAGCATTTACCCCCCTACGCCTCCAACATTCAGCCATCCCAAACAAATTATGATCTACAATCAGCCACTCTTGTGCATGGCTTAATCAAGACCAGCAGTGAACTGCATGCATCAATGCAAAGATACATGCGGTAATAAAAATTATTTACATTAAGTAGCAGAGTTCAGTACACTGGAAAGTGGTACACAAGTACTTCGTACTTCCTGAGGCAATATACAGTAAGGGTGACCCTTCTATTTTCAATGGGTCACTAACAGTTCAGTCAAGTGCAGTGAATAACACTTGATGTCCCAAGGGATATTTGACATCTCTGAAGAGATGAAGGCAATGAATCAGAATGAAAACCTCAGAAAAAGCAAAACCTAACTCATATAGGGTCCAATGTTTTCAAATTAAACAACTTAAGATTGGGTCATTATACCAGAGAGTAAGAGCAAAAAAGACAAGAAACATAGGAAGGAGAAGGATAAAATACTCATGGCACCTGAGGAGATGTAAGCCTTTTTTCTACCTACTATTCGGCATGAGAAAATACTGTACTTGAACATTTCAAAACAAAGACATAATGCCACAACAAAATTCTGCAGACATCACAGGCCACTTTTACTTCTGGAATATCTCTAACGTAATGTCCATGCTTTGGTACTTAAGTATAGAATACTTAAACATCAGCAAGGATGGACAATGTTCTGTAGCCCCAGCTGAATAATTTTATCAGTATAGGAATGTAGGCAGAGATACTATAAAAGATCATACTACATTAATATTTTTATGGAACCCTTACAAGCATGTAGTGATCAACTGCTGTTAAACCTCAAAATTCAGTCCTGTATGAAAATGCGATACTTCTATGTAAGTGACTCCATACATCAACTTCAAATTACTAGAATGCATGTATAAACACATACATTACCAGAAGATTTAATCTCCTGAACATACATCTGTAAGAATAGGGTTAGAAATTACATCTATTAGATATGCAATTTGTGATACTTGTATCATTGCCAGCAAGGCTGAATTTTACTGAAGTGTCTGTTTTCACTAAAGACCAATGCTAACTCCCTAGGTACTCTGTAGTGTAGCAATGGATTCACTTCATGTGAAGGTTTTAAGCCTGCTACACAGCAGTACAAAACAACCCTAGGCAGCATTACCTAACACTGTGAGAAACAAACTACCTTCTCTTATTCAAATTCTTCCACAGCATTTACAATTTTATAGATATTTAACCAGATTCCTCCACTCCTTAAAGCTGAAGACTGGACTCCCAAAAAGATGATTTAGTCAACTCCTGCATGCAAACTACCCCTCCTTTAACCCCTTTATTTACTCTCATTCTACTACTTAAGGAAAAGGAAAGAAAAAAGGAAGTAAAAAGATATGGTGAACTCCCATATTGTCATGTAATGGTCATTTACTGGTTTTCTACCTGTTCCTAATATTGTCAATAGCCCATTCACTTTTTTTTTTGTTTTGTTTTTTTTTTTTTTTGGTGTTTTAACACCAAACCTTAAGCTGACATTCCTGTAAGATGCTAGCTAGCTGGCAGCGTATTTCAAGTCCACATGGTTACCATTGTTCTACCCACCTCTCCATGAACATTTATCTGCAGCTTTTAACACCAAACTTTGTTTCCTATCACTCAACAGCACAAGATCCTTGTGTATGGCTTCACTGACAGTTTTTGATTTTACCACACTGAGTAACATAGCACTATACACAAACTTTATTCTTCATTCTCTTTTCCCAAGTCTCACAAAAACACTCACTACATAAAACCTAGTACCAATCATTTTTAGATCACATATTCTTACCTTGTTAAAAGACATCTGTTTATTAATCAATTACTTATCCTTTACAGGGCCTTTGCTCTTACCCATTTCAATTCAATCTTAGTAAAGAATTTCTGAACCTAAGTAAAATACATGAACCGTAAGACTTTATTTTTTTATACTCAGTGACTCATCTGAACTCCCATATCCATTACATCCGTCTACAAAAGCTTTTTTGAATTCTTTCCTTATAATTATGTGCTAGATATCATAAAGAAGCAACAGTCCATACGCCCATGATTAACATGTCCAGTATGGAATCAGACTCACTGTTCTCCAGTTCTGATGATCTCATTTTAAAAGTTGGGTTGCTACCTTCCATTCCTTTGATGTTGGAGCAGTTTTAAACCACCTAATTAAGCCTTTCAGACAAAAGTTCAGAAATGCCATCATGAACTTCTGTAGTGAACTCCTGGGTGAATGCTACCTACTCATTACCATTTGTCATTACTCATTTTACTGTATTTACTCGCATTTGCTGCAATACTCCAGGAAGCCCTCTCCAAAGAAATCTTCCAGTGCATAGACATCCTGTAACATCTCTAGAGACAACAATGCAAAAGAAACTTTGCTTTTACATCATCATCTTTTTATATTTTAAGTGCAATTCTGCATCACCCATTGGCTCTTCATGTAGACAAACTTCCTGCTTCTGACAGGTTAGAAACAAAACTGATTTTCTACTATTTAGCAAGCTGTTTCTCATCTTATTTTTTAGTTCAGTATTCTTTTGAAACATTTAACATAATAGGGTTTGCATCCCCTCACTCTTAATATCTTTACTGTTCTGCAGTTACTCAAAACCATTTCCTTTTAACCTTTTTATTTAGTCCCTTGCTTTAAAAACCATGAGCTTCCATGGCAGCTGCTAGCTGAAACTTCCCCAAATACAGTCACTGACAAGAAAAAACTTCTATCATTTATGACAGAGCATAGTAGTGCACCTCCATTACACACGTTTATATCAGCGCAGGAGACCAGGTAACCTATAGCAAGTATCAGTCACTTAAAGCTCAGTCTTCCAGGGCTTTTCACACATATGAAAGAACCCTGCCCATAGGAAGAACATGTGTTGTTAGGAAAACCTGATGGAAATAACAAGTGTCTTCAAAAGGTCTAAAAACTTAATGTCGTCTGAAGAACTTTGAGAGAAAAAAGTATTTAAACAGCTCTTTCTACTGTTTCAGTTCTTCAGTAAAAATTCCTTGATTTAAATCTTTAATTAAAAGATAGCTAAATAAAAAAGTTTTTCATTAGATTGCTGGCCTCCAGAGCTATTTAGGAATTAGTTTGGTGCAGAATCTGAAAGTGACTCTGAGAAGAATTATGGTAGATGGTAAGAGTGACATAAATTCACACTTAATAGACTTACTATTATTTTCAAAATTGAAAATGTTTTTTTTTTGGGAGACAGAAAAAAGGAGAAAACAAAAGAAGCTGAGACAAGTTTCTCATGGCTTAACTTCTTTGCCTTTACAACCTCCCAGAAAAGTTAATATTTGGCTGAAGTGAGAATAAACATACTGTTGTGTAGAAACAATTGATACAGGATTCCATTACTAGTATAAGGAGATAAACAAGTTAATTCAGAGTACTGCTTTGCAGAGACATAAAGAAAAACCTATGCTATACAGGCCAGGTATAAGGCCCTCTGACATCATGGGAAAGATTCTAAAATACTTTGATAAGCAATTGCATTGAAACATGAAGGGAAAGGCTTATGAAACCTTGTAAGGCATAGCTACTTACTCTTCATGTAGGTATGTTCTACAATACAAACTACATGTACAAGTAGTGCAGAGCACTAGGAATAGATGAGGATTTGACACTGTAATTACAACGCATATGATGGTGTGGGAGATACAGAACAGAGGCTTACTTTAGACTATCACTAGTCCAATGTGCAACACTGCATCAGCAGTTAAGAGAACGCTTTAGTTTTACCCAATAGGGAATCTGGCTTGTATGCACCAAGAGTACTCTGACATGAGACAAGTGGTGACACTGCCATGTGTGACATCATTTATCCTGGAGACGGCTTGGTGAAAGGATCTTATCAATGCACATAAATACCAGAGAGGTTGTGGAGTCTCCATCCTTGGAGATATTCAAAAGCTGTCTGGACATGGTCCTGGATATCGGCTCTAGGTGGCCCTGCTTGAGCAGGGGGTTGACCCAGATGACCTCAAGAGGTCCCCTCCAACCTCAACCCTTCTGTGATTCTGTGAAAAGAAGATCTGACCAAAGCTAAAATACTAAAGTAAACACATTTATAAAATACATTAACTAGCTACAGACTAATGGAGACAGAAAACAGAAGGGAAATAAGAACAAGAAAAATCACACACATGACATCAGCAGCAAAGTTTTTGTTGAAGGAACTGGGTTTTTGGTCATATTTCAGTATCTGACACTTCTGCATCAGACACCTCAGAAGAGCAAGTAGTGGCAACTGCCACTTTCAGTTACAGAAATAAAACTGACATCTTTTTAGTATGAATTCAGCTAATCAGTATTCAAACTTGGCAGTCCCATCTGCATAACAGAATCCACCTACTCGTTAAAAGATAATTAAGGCATTCTAAGAATAATGGACTGCCCCACCTGCAAACCCTGCTTTTCAGTTTTTCATGTAGTAAAGTGTTATGTTCCCTTACGTTTCTGTGAGGCCATATGCCAGGTCCAGCATGTCCATCTCTTCATCAGTAATTGCATCTAGTTTCTCAAATATGTGGTCTTCAAAGATTAAATGACAAGTTGAGCAGGCTAACGTTCCTTCACATGCACCTAAGGAAAAAAAAAAAAGTCAAGATAACAGAAAATCCAAGTTTCAAATTACAGCATAATTACAATAGAACTTCACAAGAAATTCTTCATCAGTGTGTTTGTCTCATACAAGTATCTCTATTCACTACTAAAACTAATGCTTCATATATTCCCACATTCATGTATCTACTTTGCATTCAACTCTCAATAGCATTTCTACAGTTTCTACAATCCTGAGATTTACTTGAATCCTGTAGTTAATTAAAATACTTAACTAATTCCCTTTCTACCATTTAAAGAGAGAAAAGTTTTGTACTATAAGAATGCGAAAGCAGACAACACTGTCAATCAACACTACTTAATTTATCTCCAAGGTTGATCCTTCTCTCCCCCTTTCCCAGTTTTGAGAAGTTCAACAGAACGTAACAGATTTTATACTCATTATTTCTTCTCCCTCAACAGAGCACTGATTCACAACCACAAAGGTAGTCAGGCTAGAGAGACCTACATGTATTACAGGGCAATTCAGTCTGAGATCCAAGGACCTAAGAATTTGCAATGGTTGAACAGAATAAGCATCAACCACATCTACCTGCTAGAGCAATCAGATCATCACAGAACAGTACAAGTTTGAACACTAACAAATTTGTCTCTGCCACTGGGCTGGCACCAAGTTCTCTGCTTTGCTGAAAAAGGATGATACAATTCTTCTTTGAAAACTGAGAGAGCTGGGGCTGTTCAGGCTGGCTCTGGATAGACCTTAGAGGAGCCTCCCAGTACCTAAAGAAGACCTACAAGAAATCTGGAGAGAGACTTTTTACAAGGGCATGTAGTGACAGGACAAGGAGGAATGGCTTTGAATTGAAAGAGAGTAAACTTCGATATTAAGAAGTTCTTTACTGTGAGGGTGCTGAGACACTGGCACAGGTTGCCCAAAGAAGCTGTGGATGCCCCATCCCTGGAAGTGTTCAAGGCCAGGTTTGATGGGGCTTTGAGCAAACTGGTCTAGTGGAAGGTGTCCCTGCCTGAGGCAGGGGGGAGTGCTGGAACTGGATGATCTTTAAGGTCCCTTCCAACCCAAACCATTCTATAATCCTATGAACTCCAAAGGTGAAGAAAATGGAATTTTTCGTATCTGTTGGGGCACAGAGCACACCCCCCTCCCCGATTCAAACTGATAAAAGACAAGCCGGTAACACATTAGCCAAGTTTCATTTATTTACTCATTTCCAGGGAAAGCAGAACTGAGAGCACCGTGCCCACATCACCTCTGTACTCATATGGAACAAAGGGAAGCAAGGCTGCATGTATAACCATTGCTATGAAAAGTAACAGTAGGATTTATCATCAGACCACAAGAACCACACAGAAAGTACAGTGCTTTCATGTAGTAACAGTACTGACTGCATATATTCAAAGTGACCATGACATTGTACTAATAGTCATGATTTTAAAAATGATATAATGTCTTCATGTACATAGAAATGCATGGGAAAAAGCAGAATGCCAAAAAACGTAAAATTTGTTGTATCAGCAGTTCAAGCATTTTGATGTTGGAGAAGTGAAGTGAAAAGATAGGAAAAAACAAACAAACACCAACCAGTCTATACAAACAGTGGAAGGTCTTTCTGCAACTGTAAAGCTAGCAGTAGCAATCAAACTGAGTGGAATTAAATAATTCAACAGTTTTGTAAGTCTTTGTGTAAAGATATTTCTATTATTATTACTGCACATGGGACGCCCCCTAGTGATAGAAAAAAACAGGTTAAGATTTACATTTTACTTTTTTTCTCCCTCATTATCTTTTTTCTAAACATACATTTTTACATTATTTACACTGCATTTTTCTTGGCCCTAGTATGTTGCTTCATTTGCAAGTAATTATTGAAACGGGACTATCACATGTTATAGTTAAGGATTGTTACAGTATTTCCAAATTTTAGTTTGGCTTCTGTTTATTGACAGCATTATTGGTTGTTTTGGGTTTTTTTTCCACTTTACCACAATGCTTTAACATGGCTGATATTTACACAAACTGGGAGAATATTTACTGTAGAATATAAGTGGACTAGCCATAAGCCTGTATAACATATTTAATAAGTGCTATATAATGCCAGGTATACCAATACACTACAGATTTAAAAAGAGACAATTTTTCTCCTCAGGCGTATGCAACTCCAGACATAAAAGCTGACACAGATGCAAGTCTGAGATTTCAAATCTTACCAAAGATTTGATTACTACCAGAGAAATTTATCTGCACTAAGACACACCTCAGATTTCAGACTGCACAATAATATCCTAAATGTTTTTTAAACCAATTGACTTGCATTCACTCACACAAATTGTGCTTCCACTTTCTGCTTTAGTTTGTAACTACTGATTCTTAAGCTCATGTTCATGTAAATACCTGTCCTGAGGTATTTAATTACAACATACCACTGCTTTGCATGGGCAGAATCCTACATCCTAGGATCCTACAGAATCACTCTCCAATCAATGGAAAGTGCAAAAGTTTGAAGGAATAATGAGGTAGTATAGCACCTTTCCATTTTGATTTTAAACAAAACTTGTACCAAGTTAGGATTTGACTGGGCACTGGTCTCCTTTATCCCAGTCCTTCAATAAGAATTAAACCTTTTGCTCTTTTCTGCTAACTGACATGGAACTGGTTTTTAATTTCACTTAGCTCTCAAATACTACAGCAACTTGTGCTACAAAATGACTGATAATAAGTTGAAACAGTATGGCAATACAGAAATAAATACACCAGTTTTGTGCTGCGTCTGGAACCTTTCAGCTCTGAAGAGTCTGCAAATGGCATCTTTCAGATCCCACCTTGACAGTACTCTGTCCACATGCTCCTCCTTTAACTTTCAAGCTAGGCTCACCCCAATTTATTTATTCATTTATTTATTTTAAATTTGACCCAAAATATTGTATGTCCCTGCAAGAAAAAAAAAAATTTAAAAAATGGAGAGTATTCAGAAATAAATATTAATTTACAGTTGGACTTGAAGATTTTAAGGGCCTTTTCCTATATAAATGATTCTACAACTCTGTAAGTATTTATGAATAAACTGGTAAAGAACATTATTTCTAAACACTGAATAGCATTCAGTCAATCTACTTACCAAACCCATCTATGTCTAGATTATTATTAACAACAACATCCAGCAGTGAATCCCCCGGTTTTCCTTTGGCTGTTAGTTTGTCACCATCACGATTTATGAAATGAACAGTGATTTTATCTTCTGAGCTGAAAAGAAAAGCATACAATGGAATTAAAGAAAGAATTCTAGATTTTTTTTAGATCTTCACAGTTGATTAAATACTACTAAACCAATAATTACCATCAACTCCAAGAGCACAGAAACTCAAGTTATTGGTCTTTGAAAGCTGTAACACGGAGAGGCATTTACTGCTGTACACTGAACAAAGGCCATTAAAAGTAAGCAAAAAAACCTTGGTGTGTGTTTTGTCACTAGAAGCTATATAGGATCCTGATAATTAAATTTTTATAAAATAAAAGAGATTGTTTTTTTAAATGCTTCTCTACAGACCTTTCTACAGACACCTGCTTTGGATTTATGAAACCTTAATTGTTCTCATCATTATCATTCAAGACAAATTTTAACCTTTCTTATTTCTGCTTTGAGTTTAAGATATTTTACTTTATTAGTTCCAAAATCAAATCCTTGTCCCCTCCTCAAAATGGAAGTACTCTAAAAGCATTCTGGATTTTTTTGAGCACAGGTTCTCCTAGGTTTTCACCTTGTAAATATTAATTCCAGTACAGTTCAAAGCTTTGACACTGACTTCAAAGAAAGGTTTTTTTATTTTCCTGCTTTGCTTTTCAAACAATTATGTTTATTTAAGAATTTCTCTTGGAGTCTGCATAAAATGCCTTAAGACCAAAGCTTTTAATATGGGGAAAAAAACCCACCCTGTGTTCTATTATCTATGTTATTTCACATGCATGTTACAGGAAAGCTTTTAATGTACTAACAAATAAAATACAGTTGGTTTGTTTTTACAGTTTTCTTGCCTACAGTAAGTAAGCAAAACAGGAAAAACTTGTATGGACAATGAAGAAACCTGCCAAGAGATGAGAGATGCAAATAGAACAACTGAAAGCTAATGCAAAAAGTCTATGTTTCAGTGTGAAATCCATGTGTTAAGAACAGCATGCTTAATATTCCCTTTAATATTTTTAGTAACTGTGGGCCTTACATGATCTAGCATATGGAAAGCATACAAGCTTGAAAAATCAAGTCACTCTCTGGAAAACTCTAGCCTGTAGTGCTGAACATCAGAGCAACCCAAGTAACTTGTAAAGCTAGGACCTGAGTCCTAGGTTGTTCTGAAAAACGACAAATAATTGTTGCCCAACTTAATCTCCTTGCTACAACTGTAAACTCACTTGGTAGCAGTAAGATCTGTGATTCATTATGATGTCATGTTCAATTCTTGTCATATCATCCCTCAGTCTATTCTTCTGAAGACAGCCATTATTAACAATAAACTCATTCCAAAATTATAATTGATAATGAAGGATTGACCTTTCTGATCTGCAGGATGCAACTGAAGCATGCACTGTAAAATTCAGAAATCTTCAAGATCTATCTTTAAAAAATGTAATTAATGTTACACAGTGACACCAAAGGACCACCTCCAGCAAAGGGTCCTGTGGGGGTTCAAGTTGCTACTCCGCTCTTCTTTTTGCTCTTCTGCTGTGCCAACAACTCCCACAGCACAACCAAGGAAACAAGCACCCACTTCTTGGAGATACTAGGACAAAATTCACCATCTCCACTGGTAGTTTAAGACTGATGGGTTTAGATTGCATCTGGAAAGGTACAGATTCACACTCCTGACAGCAAAAGTAAACCACTGACAGCGTAATTTTAAACTGCTTCAAAAAGCTCTTCCAGCGTTCAATGAAATACACTTTCACTTACTGAAGTATTTCTGTCAACATGACAAACACAACCCTAACAGGAGACACAATGCAAGATGCATTTGCACCTATGGACATCCTCTGCCCAAGGTATAGGCATGGAAAGTACTAAATATTTGTTCCAATATCCAAAATACACTCTTCTATTACGGGATGAAGTGATCACAAGTAACATGGACCAAACAGCAGGACATCTGGCAATACATTAGATCACTGAAACCTTTGTAAAAGACAAGTCATGCCCCTCCCAGTTGTCAAAGCACACCTGAAACTGTCTTCACCTGTGATTACACTAATCAGGCATAACACCACAGTGTCATCAGAAGAGTCCTGCCCTCCTTCCTTTGTTCCTTCAGTCTCCAGCACTCACCCTGCCATGAAGTAAATTGGGTCTGGAAACAAAACTGGATGAAACACTATCTTTACACGCCAGGTGCCATACCAGTGTCAGAACTGGTACACGGTCACATCTGTCTCTCATATGAGATGTACACCTGCATGAAACAGTTGTGTTACTGCAACTGTATGATGCCGCAATACAATCTAAGCTTCATGATCAGCTTAAACAGAAATATAAGAATGTGGTTTGGGGCGATCCCCATTACCATCATCCTTACAGCAGTATTACCACAAGTCAACTCCTTTTGCTAACCTGGCTGAAAAAAATCAATCATAAAAACAAAGTAGTCCCAGCTGAACCAGCAAGCAAAACTGACAGAACTGCCACTGCCCACAACAAAAATAAGGAAACAGGAATGGGATCCCCTTTTCTGTAGTAACAATCTCACATTAGCTTCAGACAGTTGAGGAACGGCACCACGGCTGTGCATGCCGAGCTTGTGTGGCATGCAGTAAGTGGACAAGCCACAGTACCACCAGTGGGTCACTGACTCCTGTTAAAGATTGCTACAGTAATTCATATTTTCTGTGGGACCTAAGTCATTCTGACTGATAACTAACATTTTAGAGATAGCTTTCTTAAGTCTTACAGTAGGATCAAGTTTTCTGCTATTGCCATCTTTACCACTCTCCACACAGGCAAAAAGTTGAATTAAATAAAAATCATAAATAACTGAGGATTTATTGCACACGTGCCTTTCAGAAGTGTGTTGTGGTAATCAGACCAGTCAGACATTCAAAGCACACACTGTGCAGATCTTTCCAATGACTCAGAGATACCATTCAAAAAATAATAATAATCACACCTACATGAAACAATATTTACACTTTTAAAATTTCAAGTACCATGGCTTTTGTCTACCCAGACATTGTTTGCATGAAGGAAAAAAAAAACAATCAAATGCCACCATACTGTGAACTAGTCACAGGCAACTAACGCAAAACATGCCAGGTCTATGCAAGGATAAACAGCCTCAGGATTATCAGGAAGAACAAAACCTATTTTGTGTAATCTGCATAAGGGATAAATAGCCCAATTCATGCTCAGAGGAATCCTTTTCACCAGATGCACAATACAATTAATTTCTTCACATGGCTGCCACAGTACTATTAGCTTTGTTATCATTATGATACCCTAAATTAAAGATACTAGGAATACACAGAGGAGCACCAGAGAACAGTAAACACTGTTCATTGTTCCTCCCATGCAAAAATAGTAAGTACTGCAAGAATCCTAACAGCCACCTCCTCCCCTTAAAAGAAGTATCCTTTTGAATCTTCAGCTATTACTTCCAAATTAAGAATCACCTCTTAGATTCCTCCAAACAAAACACAAAGATAACAACTGTAGCCTGGTGTTGCACAAAATAAGACCAATTCTATTCTTTCTAGATCTCTTATTAAATAGTAAGTCTAACAGCTCTACCTATATGCCTGAAGAGTTTAATGAATTAAACTATTATACAGGCTTCAATTAAAATATAAAGTAATAAAAGTTATAAATCAAACTAAACTTTAAAGCATGTAGCAATTATACTGTCCACCAAAAATAATGTACAGCTACCTGAATGGGTATAAAAGCATTCAGAGATAGCTACTGTTCACATGAAAATAGATGATAACAGATGAAAGTGGAGCAACAGGAAGAATTAAATGGAAATGAAAACATAATGCCCAATACTTCACTAAAACCCTTGGGAACCTCTGCTCACAAGAACCACCTGAGCTAATAATTTTGTACAGCTAGGTCTTCATCCCCTAGACACAAATACAACTAATTTTACATATACAAACAATTATATATGCTTTTACTGGAATAACAATGACTGATAAGTTCAGGAACTTAGTCTCAAATAGTATCACATCCAGAAACGGTAGGACCAGAGAAAGTAACTTGCACATAAATGAAGAAAACAGTAATATATGAAAGAAACAAGGATATTCTTTTTCTCTCGACTCATTCATCCAGGTGAGTATATACGGAGTATATAACCACCATATATGAAATGCCTGTGTGACCTTTTTTGATGGTATGCATACACAATGCATGTGAATAAATTCCTGTTTGTGAAAGACCTGAGGGATTACAGGTCTTACATTACTATTAGGTAATAAAATGTTTTTCACTTTTAGTATTCTTTTTCCTCCCATATTTACCCTGCTCAACAGCTTCAATAACTTTAAAAAACAACAATACTTTACAAAGACCTTTTGATTTTTTAATTAAAAATTGTGAATCAGAGACCTTGAAATAAGTGAATGTCACTCTGCTGGGTCACTCAGATCTAAACTAACAATTTACCCATCTCACATAGGGGTCCTAGACTAAAAGGTTAGTTTGCCTCTCCATAGTAAAAGTATCCGCTGGAACAAAGTAAAAAAGCACCTACAGGAGAGTTTAAGAGCAAACTACTGAAACAACTTCAATGGCATGGAAACAGGCAAAGCTACAGTCCTGATGCTGGGCAGCTGATGGCGCATCTCATTCCGAGTCGAAGAAACTTCTTGGGCAACCAAGTAAATTAGGCTTTTAAAACTTCATTTTAAATACTGAAAGTTAACTGTAGACACTGACTTATCTTTGAATATACAAGCTACAAGCCAGAAGGCCATACATGAACACAGCTTCTAACTACATGTACTAAGCTGCAAATCCATGGGCTGTGGGATATTAAACATCTATAAAGGTCGTAACTTCTGAAACACCTACTCATACATACTGGTGAGAAGAGGTGGGGTTCTGCACACTTGGATGCATGAGTGCTCTTCAGTAAAGTAAAACTACACCAAAGGCACAAGAAAATTTCAGATCTTCAGTACTGTCAGTATTGGGCTCTCTGGTATGTTCTGTACTTCTACCACAGGCCTAGCCAGACTTTCAAAAAAAAAAAAAAAGCCCCAACAAAAGAAAAACAAACACTCCCCCTGCCCCCCCAAAAAAAAACAAACAAAAAAACCCAACCCAAACCAAACCAACAAACAAACAAACAACAAAAAAACACGCCAAAGCAAGAGAAAGAGGAAGCACAGGGCTGCGCGAAAAAGCGACTCTGATAGGGTCACAGCCTTTCAGAAAGCTAGTTTAAACATAAACAGCCTTAGTTTAGTTTTCCATAACATTATAAGCTCTTTCAAGGGGCTCCAGACTCCAGATCACAAGATCACACAGGCCCTGCGGCTTAACTACCCGAGGGGTGCTACGGCAATGCCCCCCCGCAGAGAACTTCAGTGCCGCTGCCAAGGCAGTCCCAGGCGCGCCGGCGAGAGCAGGGACGAGGAAGAGGGCGAGACCCGCCCCGACCGGGCCAAGGCAGGGGCACAGGAGGACAGCGGAGCACCGCAGGCCGCTCGGCAACGAGGAGCCGGGGGGAGGTTACGCAGCACCAGCCCAGCTCGGCCCCCACCAACGGCCCTTGGCCCTGGGTGCCCTTAGCGCTGAGGCCCAAGCAGCGGCCCGAGCAGGCCCGTTACGGCACTGCGGCGGAGGGAGAGCTGCCGCCGCCCGGAGGAGCCCGCCCGGCGCCTCACGGCTCTGACCCTCTTACCTGAGCACCGCCCGGGCAGAGAGGCCGAACGGCCGGACTGCCCTCACGGCAGCGGCGGCGCTGCCGCAGCCTGGCCATGTCCCGGCTGCCGGCGAGGCGGAGAAAAGCCAGCGGCGGGAGGAGGAGGCGGCGGCGGCGGCCCGAAGGAGCCGTACCGGCCCCGGGGAGGCCATGGCGGCGGGACAGGAGCGCGGAGCTTCCGTGCCGGCACCGGGGGAGGGGCGGGGACAAAGTCCTACTGCGTACGCCTCTGGCGCAACCTGCGGCAATTCTCGCAGCCGTCTACGTAGAGCACGTCCCGCCCCCTCATGACGGTGCTGCGAGGTGACCGCGCGACTGGCCGAGCGGCGTTACGCAAAGTGCGCAGCGATGCGCGGAGCGGCGGGTCTGGGGCCGGGGTTTACGGAACGGGCGCAAGGCGCTGTTCGCCTGCCGTGCCGGTGGCTCCGCGTTGGGGTTGCGCGGCGTCCCTCAGGCGTGCTGTAGGACGGTGGAACCCCTCAACTTCCCTCATTCAAACCTAAGCCCTACTGTTCCTGGAAGGTGGTCCCGTGGAGTCTGACATTGTCCTGCCTCCCTGCCCGGGTCGGCTCGTGGGGGATTTCTTGTCACGGCTCAGGCCGCGACGGGGGCTCAGCGCTGACAGGGCCCTGGCAGGGTCTCTGACACGTGGTGGAGGTGGCACCCAAGGACTCCTAGGAGTCCTCACTACATCCCATCTCAGATGTGCCTTTGGATGGCGTGCCCTGTGAAGGACTGAGCTCCCTGGCTCCGGACAGGGCAAGAAGCAGGGACGCAGGGAAACAGGCATGGCAACAACTCAGGGCTCTCAGACTGTGTTTTATGGCAGAATCAACTTCTAAAACCCAGGCACCAACAAAGGGACAGCAGTGCTATCAGAGGTTTTAACGAGAGGTGGGTATTCACTGTGAAAGGCTCAAATATAATAGGAAATACTGAGATTTCTTGAACCATTTCAGACTGCACATACTGACTTAATTTGGCTCTCTGCAGTGTACACATTGCTGTACAAGTTTTGATTAGATGGGTATGCAGATCCCCTTCACTCTACCACATGCTGACTGGAGAGTACTGAGTGAGTGATGAAGAAAGGGAGCATTTACTTCCAAATCAATCATTCAAATTGTAAAAATAAACGGGAGAAAGGAGGAAATGTTGATGACCTCTGAGGCACTCAAGGTAGTTAGGATTATTCCTGATGCCTTATGATTTTAGGACTGTGTTTTTGTTGGTGTCACAGTAAGATCAAAGAGGGAAATAACGTTATACTATATAACTTGTATTTTCTTTAAGGAGAGAAGGCTGTGATGGAAATGTCAAGAGCTTATAAACTGGCTATAAACCAAGTGACTTGAATGTGCCAGTTTTCACTGCTTCAGGTATATAGCTCCTACCCTCTAAGTGACATATGACATACTCAATGTCATTAGAGGGATTCCCTTTATCCATTACAACTATGGCCAATGTAAGATTTTACAAAGTCTGAATCTTATCTTTTAAGCTTTATTTCCATTATTGCTATGTCAAAGTAGCTTTTTTAGCAGCTACACTGTATGAATCCTGTGACACCAGATATGTTTCACATTATTATCATTTACAATCCAGTATTATTTCCATAAAAAAAAAATGGACTGCTGTCCTCATCTAGATCTAGCATAAGATTGCAAAAGTGTTAGTTATCTAGATGCACAGTATAGCTCTACATTTCAGCTGGAGTGAGGCTGACCCATTTTTTCTAGGCAATTTCCTTTAAATTTGTCGATGTTACAAAGGCTGCAGTAACTTTACACAGGTTGCCACTATATAATACAGGCAGAACAGCTTTCAGTTGTTCTTTGATTACTTGCAATAGAATTGTTTTTTCAAATATATCTTTTGTAGAGTAATATTATTAAATCTGATATTAATATAAATGCAGTTAACATTAGCAAATTAATATATCATAGAGCAGTCACTGAAATAAATACTCTGAATGCCAGACCCTCAGCGAGTATCCTGGTACCCACACACCCACACTAAGCTATTTTTCATTAGGTTTCACTCTTTGACAGCACACGAGAAGGTGGCCACAAATAATACATTTTATTTCAGTATTGTCACTACATCATAGGGTCATATATGCGTTCTTATAAGGCAGTGTATAGCTAAATATATACAGTATTATGTGAACTTTTAATATTGTAAAGCTAAAAAAGCACATCAGATAATCTAGTCTGTCTTTAACCAGATGGCTGCTTGTCATAAATTTATGGTTAATGCGGGAAGTAAGTCTGAAAGGGACCCTCTGGACCGTCTAATGTAAACATGTGCTATCACATGCAACTCAAGTAACTAAATATAGAAGTATTTTATTAACGTTTTCTTGCTGGTATTAGCTGCACAGAAAAACAGGCCCAAATTTTCATTCATTGGAAGGGTAGAAGGCTTAATTATATATTAATTTTCAAATAATTTATTAGTTTAATTCTTAGTATAGGATTATTTATACTGATTTTTCCCTGCCCAGGGCTGCCCATGAGTTTAAATAGTTTGGTTTTTTTTTGTTCTTTGTGATGTTCACCCATCATTTATTGTACTCCCTCCAGCCTTTTTATTTTTGCTTCTGTTGTTACAGGTCTCTTTTCACAAGGAGGAAACTCTTACTATTCTCCTGCACATCCCACACATTTGTGTGTATGTTAGTTTGAATCCAGCCTTGTTAGATGTGGGCAACTAGTTCGTCCATTCACTTCAGGTCTTTTACAGTGTCTCTAATAGAAATGTATGGCCCTGATACATCCTAGGATTGTATTTGATTTTTTGTTCCCATGTACAAATGAAATTAGTAGCCTGAAATAATCTTGTGATCAGTTAATAACGGAGATGTCCCTTGCTGTTTCTCATTAATGAAGCTGTCATTAACCACAAGAGTTCTTGCTGCCCCCAAGAACATAGTAGGCTCTTTGAACTTTGCTTCAATCTGCTTTCATGTGGTTTTTTTGTTCAAATACCATTTTAATAAAGAAGGCTATTTCTATTAACCAACATTAATCCCTGTGCTAGACATGTTCCACATCTCTGTTCCAGCCTTCAGACTGCCGTGACCGTGAGCATGTTACCCCCATGCAGCAGTTTATTTGGCAAAGTCCAAGGTCAGCTCCTTCACTGATAAGAGCAGTTGTGAAAAAAGCTGATGATGAGGGCATGCTTTGCCTTTCCCTTGAGAGCCCTTTTTAATCTGAGGGTCATGCTGGCCTTCACCTCTGCCACAGAGTAGTTGTGCAGCAGTGCTATTGGCACCATCTCGCATCTTTGAGTCTTCACCCAGACTTGCTGACAGGAGACATGGCATGAATGGATATTTATGAAATGCAAATCCATCATTTTTATTAAAGAGTTTTTTGAAAATAATAATTCCACCAATTAATCAGGCTTCTTTACACAATTAGCTTTTCTGGTCATTATCAAAGTTCAGTATGAGCAGTGTTTTAACTTGGATTTTCTTAGAAGCAAAATTGTGCCACATTATCCCTTTCAGTTGAAATACTGAAGGAGATCAGAGAAAGGAAAGGATCCACGGTCCATGTGGAAATTTCCTTTTGTGATCATCTGTTGTTAACCAGCATGAGAACAGAACCATCTCATCCAGAGTTTTTTCTCTAAGGTAGCGTGATTTGTCATATCCCCACCTTAGGTTTTGACATAGCTTTTAGTTCAGTCTTCTGGCTACAGTTTCTCTTGGATTATAAGAGTGCAACTAAGCCTTCACAGAGACAGGAGAGCAGCAGGCCACCTAGTTTCATCTTGGCAACCTTCATGTGACTGTGGGCAGGAGTGGGCCTGTGAGCTGCTGACACAATGTTTTCTATGTTTCAATGTTCGTTCCTCCAGACTATACCATCTCTTCAACCTGAGTTTTCTGAAACCAAGATCTTCCTTTCCACCTGCCCCTGACAGTTCAGTAACACAGACCTTGATCTAATTTAAAGCAATGAAACTTAAAATGTTTAATTTATTCATCATAGGAAGGTCCAGACAGTCAGAAACTGGTGAGTGGAATACATTGGCTGGGCTCTTTGTTGTTACCTTCAGCCCAGGAGGCCGAGGACTTGGGAGCAGTGACATCTGAAGTAACCCATGCTTGAAAAGGGCAGGAAGGTGAAGGAGAGGTCATCGACCAATGAATGCTCATGGGGTGGTTGTTTTTATTTTGGGAATTAAAGTGGTTTTTAAGACTTTTTGTAAAAAGGCAGGTAATCTGAGTACCAGCAAAGTGCGTGTGTAGCTGCCAAGTGATTCTACAACAAAAAGGAGCTTTGGGAACTTCGGCATTTTGTTGGTGAGGATCCAGTAACTGTGGTGCAGAAGGGCAGGAGGGTCTTTTGTTTGCAATTGTTTTGTCTTTGCTGGTTTCACTACAGCACCTGAAATACAGCAGGAAACAGAAATGTTTGGAGTTCTGTCATTCAAAGAATTGGCGCTCTGGAAATAGGACAGAGCCTGGTGTTATCCACTCAGAGAGGAAAGCTGAGGAGGTGGGTCTATCTTATGACAGGAAGGTGAATTACTGCCATGGAATTCTGCTTAACTGTAGATAATGTGTTGCCTCAAAGCCACATTTCTGTCATACATAAAAGACTGAAATCTGCATGAGAATTTGCATCTTGAATTCTTCTACTTCATGTTACACGTAAAATTTCATAGCAATAGCTCCTTCCTATGATAAGCTGTGAAAGTAATTGGTCTCCAATTAAACAAAAAAGCAATTTTACGACTGCAGAAGGTTTGTGTTGATGATGAATTACAGCCTGATACCCACTCCTGTTGCCTACCTGCACCCACTTCTCTCTCTGGATAACGCAATTATGAAATATCAGCAGCGTTTTTACTCTCTTCCTCAGAGTCCTTACGGTTGTTCTGCAACAACAACCGCAACAAGATACGAGCAAAATGTCTCCATTAAGCAAGGGTGTTGATTGCTGTAGATGCTGCAAGTCCTGCTGTCCTGTCAGTAGCAGGTGGAGTGAGTGATGTATGAGGTCCTGCATGCTGGTCATTTACTGCCTCTGCAGAATGCATCTTTGTATAGCCTGTGATGAAGGAATGCATTTACTGTTAGTGGTAGCCTATTGGTTTGTAACAAGAAGCCAGCTCAGTTGCAAATGACAAAGACTTTTGTGTAAGGTTCTTGGAGAAAGAGTGATGCACAAAAGGTAAGTGTGCTAAGGCAGGAGGGTTGTGTGTCCACCAGGAGGCATACCAAGACAGGGTTTCATCTTCCTCACAGACCTGAACCCGATGCACGTACCAGCAGTGGAGGGAGGCAAAAGTTTTCATCAGATTTACACATCAGGAATTAGGAAATTGAGAGGTTTCTAGAACAACATGAAAACTGGCAAGAAGCTGAAGTAATAAAATGCATATATGTAAAAAAAAAATATATATATGTCAAACTGAAAGAAGGGAGATTTAGACTAGATATTAGGAAGAAATTATTTACTTTGAGGGTGCTGCGGCACTGGCACAGGTTGCCCAGAGAAGCTGTGGGTGCCCCATCCCTGGCAGGTTTCAAGGACAGGTTGGACAGCGCTTGCAGCAACCTGCTCTAGTGGAAGGTGTCCCTACCCATGGCAGGAGGTTGGAACTAGATAATCTTTAAGCTCCCTTCCAACCCAAACCATTCTATGATTCTATGTTATCTGGTCAAAGGCTATAATTTCACATAAATGTTGCTGATGTTCAGAGTCATTGGAAGTCATAATCGATATCACTGAAAATAAAAATGCTAATCAAAGTGTAAAGCAATACTAGGTCTCAGCTTCTTATGGTACACATCAGCAGGTGTCTAAGATGCCGATTAGGTATTTCCATGTACATATGAAAAAGGACAAAATTTCAGTGCTGCAAACATTTATGCATGTGAATGATTGTATCTGTTATATATTAAAAATATAAAAGCAATTGCAAAATCAGCTACAGGCTGGGACTCCATGGGAATACAGGTTGTAATAAGCTTATCAGCTGTGCTTCTCTGACAGTGTAACTGGAGTTAGAAACAATGATCCTTCTCTCTGACACCCTAGGAACATGTATATCAGATCAGGAGTATGAACAGTGGTGTTTTCAAAGGTGCTAAATTTTGTATTTTTTTTTTTTTTTAAGTATTGTAATCAAAACCTTTTCTGTCATTTCAAAATCAGGTAATCAGCTAGGAATTGAAAACCTAAACCCACGGAAGCACAAAGTTATTTTCCCAAGCTTGAAGAGAAACCTGAATATAAGACCATGGAAAGGAAATAGAGAACCCCAAACTAGTATTAAGGCCTCGTGAGTGGGTTTTTTTTTTAATGCCAGCCTCATGACTTTCTGGGAACTGATTTATTGAAAGCCTTGGTTTGGCAATTCTGTGCTTGGCTAGCTTGGGCTTGACCCAAGTCCTCTTTTCTCTTGGCAGCACTTAAAACAGCTGAGATGTAGCCTATGTTCCTTCGTAATCCAAGATTGCTGTGTGCAGTCAAGAACCCTTCAGCATGGGAAATGAACAATAACCCCAGGCTGTGGGCCCTGCTGGTGGTGTGGGCTGTGGGGCTGGGGTGAAGAGCTGAGGGCATGATCTGTTTCCCTGGGACCAGCTTCTACGTGGGTTTAGTGCAGCTGACACACTCCAACTGGTGTAGAAGTACTGTTTTACTTTTCAACTGCACTGTAACCCAGCTGCTGGAAACTCAGTTGTGTAGAGAGAACTCGTCTGATATTTCCAGTTCTTCAGCATTTACAGGAGCTGCTGCTGCAATCCAAACAGAGGTAGTATTCAGCCATCTCCTACAGCAGGTCATGTCCTGCTGGAACAGCGCAGCAGCAGCACCAAGCATTTTCCTGATGGTTCCGCAATCTCAGCAGTAAGGCAGCAATAAAACAATGTGTCCAATGTATTCCATTGGCTTTGCCCGTCGGCTCTTATTTCAAGGCAGAGCACTGTGCTGGCGTATATGTATCATATAGAGGTTTTTCTTGCACTGCTCCTAGGGCTCTGAGCCAAACTGCTGGCACAAAGCTGGAGTTAGTAACCCACAGTGGTACCACTGTCATTCCAAACTGCTGAGGTAGTGCTCTACCCTATTACTTTTCTTACACGCTTCTGTTTTCTATATAGAAACAGAAGTTGCAGAATCATGCAGCTTTCAATTTCTAAACCAGGCCAAATTCATTGTTTTAAACTGGCACAGCTGTGAAGTTAGCACTGAGTCTTGCTGCATTACACCAACACAGAGCTGGGCTAACCATCATAATGCAGAAGACTGTAAATAAACCATCATAATGCAGAAGACAAGTAAATGATTGTCTAGCTCCAGTGTTTATGCCCTTTATTAAGGATGAGATTGCTTTTAGTAATCTTAAAAGCAAATATCTTTGTAACATCCGGGTCTCAATGACTTGTGCCCAGCTGGGATATCAGGATGGGTGTTTGTTGCACTTGACAGCTTGTATCTGTAGACAGGTGTCTTACTAATATGGAAGAAATTTGAACTCTTCAGTTATATAATGGAGAAGTAAATGATTTTCCAGAAATTATTATTTGTTATCAAAGGAAAGTGGGGAAGTGAAGGCTGTTTCCTGAGCCACCGCTGTTGTAGTCTCTGCAGACCTGCTTGTGTCTTTGCCATTTGCTCGTTGGGACATCCAATTAATTAGACTGAACTTGCTTCCTTTTCTATCTACCCATCTTGGATTAGTAGTTTAGAGGGTGTGTATGAAAGACTGAAGCTCCTGGCACTGCAAGCATATGAATAGTCTTATTCAGAAGACTAGTCTCACTGCATGAAAGACCAAGAAGTCATCACACAAAAGATAAAAGTAAAAATACTTGGGTTTTTACATCTGTAATATTATGAAACATTCAAATTCTTCTGAAGCAAAAATCCTTCAATTCAAACACAAGGTCACTAAGTTCCATGCTTTTATTTGAGTATATTATATTTTTATAGAAGCACAACAGAAATTAGCAGTTGTAACAGCCTCCCGCTGTACACCAGAGCACAACCTGAGTCAGGCTGTACCTGTCCCTCATGCAGATGTTAGCCTCTCAAGCAGCCCATGTGACACCCGCAGAAATGCTCACAGGCAGCCCATGGGTATCCTGTCTGTACACCAATGCAGCATGGTGACCCCCAAACTCTGGGGTGTGCTTGCTTCCTCTCAGATCCCCCTGCTTTAGCAGGTGGCTTGACATTGCATAGCACGGGGTCTATGCCTGACAAGGCTGCATCTATTCTAGAGGAAGAGTGTGGAGCATCCCTCAAAAGGCAGCTGAGATACACCGACTCAGACCAGATATGAAACCAGAATTACTCACATCCTTTTCTGCAGTATCATTTTCTCAAGTGCATCTTCCTCTGCTCCACAAGAAGAAAACAGCTGTGGAAATCCTGTGTTCTCTTCCCAGATTTTTGCTGGAGCTCTGACATCTTGTGTAAAGAAGTATGATGGTCCCAGCTTATTTTAAGGTAAACAGTATCTTGTAATCCATCTTTGCTTGATTTGATGAATTATCTTTCTTGTCCCACCTATTTGTTAATAGCTTTGCCTACTGTCTAGGAAAAATACCTGTCCAGTGGCTTAGCTTTCATGGAATCTGGAAAAATGTAAATTGCCTGTTCTGCAAACCAAAATGCATATGAACAGTTCTTTGAATAAAATGATCAGGACTACTGATGAGACTCATAGGTCTTGTGAGATGAGATTTACTCCATATTATATTTTACTTCAATAGAATGTAGCAAGTAATAGATAACATTACTTACACAAATGTTTTCCTAACTGATTTCTGAATATATTAAGACACAGGTTAGCAGGTTGAGTATCTTAAACTGATGGAAAATGTTAGCAATTAAACATTTCTTCTAAGGATTTTGAAAATGTGATGAGAAGCAAACTAAATCTGGTTATACTAACATCTTGAAGAAGGCCTGAAGCTTCTTTATAGCACTGCTCTGAAGGCTCTAGTCTTGTTGAAGAAATTTCAGCAGCAGTTCTCATGAGGCAAAGTGAAGAAGTCAATCAGAACGTGCTTACATCTCTGTGCAGGTGACAATGCAGCTGCTGGATTAAAAGCCCTTGTGCTGACTTTGGGTGTATCTTCATTTTGCTTGTAAAACTACCTTAACGAAACAGCCTCCTTTGCTATGTTTTCCAGGATGCGGTGTTTCACTGTTGTCATACAACTGCTAATGAAAAAGACATGTAAGCACAAATGTATTCTGCTCTGCTAGCATTAGCAGTAATAGTGGACTATGCTACTATTGAAAGAGAAGGAAGTTACAGTAAAAGCTGGATTCTCTTCTTCCATAGAGTTTTACAGTAGGACTGCTGCCATCAGATTTTGTATATGTGGGAGATTAAACATCAAAATGAGCCTTTGCAAATACTGTGAACTTTAAAGAATCTTGGGTGGAATTGTGACAGAGCCTTTTACAGGGAATGGCAGTGCTTTCGACGATCTTAATGGTTAGTGATTGCATTTTAAGTTAGAAATTTTAATTGCTAAGCAGAGCTATAAAGAGGAATCTAACTCACCATTTTCACGGTCTGTTGCATTTGCAAACAAGGTTTTCTGGCCCAAATAGTTGTACAATAACACCTGAAATGGATCTCTATAGAAGTGAATTTCCTAAAAGCCTAAGTTGCCTAGAAGAAATGACTTCCTACAGTAACAAAGGATTTTCTGAACAGTTGTGTAACATGTATTTCTTACATTCTCCTATAGGGAACTGAAAATTGACCTTTCAGAAAGAGGGAGTTTGGAGCAATTACTTTCTCTTCAGTAGTCTCTTTGAAATTTTGCTTTACAGAATTTAACCTTAGAGATTCCTTCCCCTGTTTTTCCTCAAGGCAAGTATAGTTTGATCACTGACATGCTCTCTCTGTGGGCTAAACCTAGTTTTATTTTTAAAAAAACGTTGAGCTCACTGGAGCATGTAACTTGCCATACTGCATTATGTTCATTTAGCCCACTTGTGTATCTATAGCTGTTGTCAATTCCCAATGCTTCTGAGAAGATGTGCAAACACAGACATATTTTCAACAGAATTGGGGTGATGGAGACTTCATTGTAATTGCTAACTTGTTTAAACTTTGTGTTTCCAACTGTTTGGTTTTTTTAAATACCTCTTATATGAATAATCTATACCCACAAATACAGTAAATCAGGACAAGAGATTACTGCCCTCCCTCTTGGACTCTTGCTGTGTGTTTTGACTTCAATAACATCCTGGAGCAGTGAGTTCCAATCTATTTTGTTCTTTGATGAAAAGACAACACCTGGTTTCAAATATATGAGTTGTCAGCTACACAGTCTGCCTCTTCTTGTACTACAAGACTAAGAAAATGAAAGGTCACAAACCATGTTCTCTATTCTATTTTTATGTTTGCAAGCCTTTTGCTAGATCTTGACCCAGAATTTCTAAGGAATATTTACTAAAAAGTGACCTGAACAATACTGTACTTCCCATTTACAAACTGTTTACCAAAACAGAATTTAGAAAGGAGGAAAGTAAAGGAAGGAAAATGGGAAAGCAACTACACTTTTGCTAAAGGACAGTAGTTTAGAGTTGTCTTGTGGTTTTCTTAGGGCAGATGACAGCTACTTACCTCCTTAGGTAGTACATTATTCACTGCTACTTAGTGTCAAGTACAGTGGATTGACCACCTGCCTCAATTTAGGCTGTTGCATGCTGAAGTGTCACCATGTAATTTGGGCTAGTTGCTCCCAGTCCCTGTTGTCCTTTCTTACTGACCATCCTGCTGGCTGTTTATTAATCACTCAGTGATTTTGTGCTTTTTCATAGATCACATATAAATAATCCTAGTTGTTACAGGCCTTTCTGTTCCCCTTCTAGGAGCTGCTGCAATGTCAGGCTGAAAGGGAGGTTTTAGATTAAGATGACTGCTAGCCCCAAGCACATTTACGCTGAGTTATTTTGCCCAGGCTTTTCATACATTACTGTCATTGCATCACTGTTTCATATTTATACCATGGTGGCTGACTTGTTAACATAATATAATAAATAAGAAATATAAGAAAAATAATAAAACATAAACTTCCACAGAAAGTTTCAAGCCTGCTTATTCATTTCTGTTCAGTTCCTTTCCTATTCACAAGATGCCAACGGGGCACTCATCCCCTCTGGTTTTCCTTTCCTTTACAGTATTCAGGAAAAGGTTGGGGGTCTTTTGTTTAGTTTAGTTTTGGTTTGGTTGGTTGGTGGCTTTTTTCTCCTAAGCCCCAGGCTTGCATATTTGGATCTCTTCTTATTTACTTTTTTTTGCGCAAAAAGTTCTAATTCAGTTAGAGGCCTTTTTTTTCATGTCCCTTCAGTGTCTCCAAATGTCTCTTAATCCTGCAGTCTTTTAGGCTGCAACAGTCAGAGCTGTACAGAGATTTCAGCTGAGGATATGATCAGGGGACTGGAGAACCTCCCGTATGAAGACAGGCTGAGGAAGTTGGGGCTGTTCATCCTGGAGAAGAAAAGGCTGTGTGGAGACCTCATAGCAGCCTTCCAGTATCTGAAGGGGGCCTATAGGGATGCTGGAGAGGGACTCTTCATTAGAGACTGCAGTAACAGGACAAGGGGTAACGGGTTAAAACTTAAACAGGGGAAGTTTAGATTGGATATAAGGAGGAAATTCTTTCCTGTTAGGGTGGTGAGGCACTGGAATAGGTTGCCCAGGGAGGTTGTGAATGCTCCATCCCTGGCAGTCTTCAAGGCCAGGTTGGACGAGGCCTTGGGTGATATGATTTAGCGTAAGGTGTCCCTGCCCATGGCAGGGGGGTTGGAACTAGATGATCTTAAGGTCCTTTCCAACCCTAACGATTCTATGATTCTATGATATATGATCTGTACATACATGTTGTTGATCATAGCCACATACTGTACTGATAGCTCTGTCTTTTTCTGGAAACAATAGTGTTAACATATAATGTGGAAGATTAATTTTTTAACTTCTCTCAACCTTGTGAAGACTTCATTTGCCATCGTGTTCCCTGTACGCCAACACTGATGAAATTCCCTCAGACTTTTGTAGATCGACAATAGAAATGAAGTTTGCGTGGCTCAGCTGAAGCAATGAGGAAAAAATTCTGAGCTGTACTTACATGATAGGAGATGAAGTAAGAAAGCAAGAAAAGGCAGATCTTTAAGCTACCAAACCTCTGTCTTCATGCAAAGCCTCAGCAGTTTTGACTGGCTCCGTGTAGAAGAAACTCCATTTAGAAAACGATGAGCTGTCAGCAGAGCAACCAGAGTAACTCTCCTCTTGATCTGTTAAGTGGGAGCAAGGAAACTGTTTTGTTTAAAAGAAACAAAAAATGGCCAAACCAGAGTTCTTAGGAGTAGGAATCCTTCATCTCATCTAATTAAACTCCAAAGACGAACATCTAAGCTACAGAGATGCATGCAGCAGACATGTTTGAACTACTCCCAGAATTCATTGACTCCAGGATGTAATAGAATTTTGAACTTTCAGATGGAAAAACCAGTAACCAAACCTGCTGGTTTCAATGTATGCTGCGAGTAGCATTTAATGCCAAATGGTGAACTTAAAAATGTGTTATCTACAGTCTAGTCTGAACATCAGTTCAGAATATAGGAAAAAATTGTGCATTGTTTAACAAGATAAATTACTTGGACCGGTACTTCTGCCTTCATAGTGGACCTCAGTTTTGTAACTATTTTCAGCCCAGCTTTTGTCCTCTAAGTTTGTCTCCAAGTTCACTTGGTATCTTTAAAACGTATCAGCCAACTTTAACCAAAGGCAACAAAGGCAGGGGCCTTGGAAGAAATTATTATCCTACAAATTTCATGTCAATAGCCATCAGGAAAGAAGAAAAAGAAAACTGAGGTGTCCCCAGTAGGAAGGACCATCTGAGCGATCCCGTAATGTCTGTCAACAGGGAATCCACACCAGGCAGAGCTCTCAAGTTTGCCTCAGCCTCTAGCAAAAAAATACAGCTACACAAAGTCAGTTACGGGGATAAGTTACCAAGCACCCACAACCTTAGCCAAACTAGTTTCATGGAAAAACGTACCTCTTTTGTAATTTCAAGTTCAGCAGCATCTGAAATTTCAAAATCTGTCCTTATGTGCCATCCTTTCAATCTCTGTTTGCTACTGAACTTCATGAATGCCATGTAATATTAGCAGAATTTAGACCCTTAAAGGGACTAAGTCAAACTAATTTCCCATTTCAATTTAATCTTATTTCATTGCTTTGGTATTCTTGTAATATTCTAGCCTACCTGATTCTTCCAATGTCTTTGAGGTACTCTTAAGGATAGCCAAAAATTGTGTCTTTTAATATTAATTCTAAAAGCAAATAATAATTCCTAAGTCTTTCAGACCTTCTTCATACACAGTGAAATGAAAAAGGAGCAGCCTTTACTTGAAGATATGGTACTCTGAAATTCTTAGCATCCTAGAATTATCTTTCTCCCTTTCCTGACTTGTTTTTCTTTGCTGAACTTTAATGGAGGATGGTGTCCTGGGTTCAGCAGTAGCAGTCATGTTTTTTTTCCTTTGTGGTAGCTGGTGCAGTGCTGTGTTTTGACTTCCAGCCTGGGAACAGTGTTGGTGAAGCCGATGTTTTCGGTTGTGGCTAAGTGATGTTTACCCTGACCAAGGACTTTGTGAGGCTCATGCTCTGCCAGGGAGGAGGGGAAGCCGTGAGGAAGCAGAGATGGGGCGCCTGACCCAGGCTAGCCAGGGAGGTATTCCATACCACAGCACGTCATGGCCGGGGTGGGGGGTAACTGGGAGTTACCCGGAAGGACACGGGCTTCCGGGTGGAACTCGTTTTCTTGGCCGGTGGTATCGTATTCTCTTCCCTTGTTATTTTCTCTTATCATTGTTGTAGTTGGTAGTAGCGGTGGTGATTTGTGTTGTACATTGGTTGCTGGACTGTTCTTGTCTCAACCCGTGGGAGTTGCACTCTTTCGATTCTCCTCCCCGTTCCTCCGGGAGCGGGGAAGGGGAGAGCCCCGGGGGGGAGGGGGGATGGACCTCGATTGCTGTCAGCTCGGCACCACTCACTGGGAGTGAGTGAACAAGTTACCTGACTGGGTTTAAACCACGACAGATGGTTTGTAAGGTAAGGTTTGATTGCAACATAACTGCTACAAGATGGTGGGATGACTGGAGCGTTGGAATGGAAAGTTACAGGCTCTTTAGAAAAAGACAGGCCTGGCAGGTGGAGATGGGGAGTTGCTATTTATGTTAGGGATAGGCTGGAGAGTATGGAACTGTGTCTGGGGACAGGTGAGCAGTCAACAGAGAGTTTGTGGGTCAGGGTTAAAGGGAGAACAGTGATGGGAGACATTACTGTGGGGATCTGTTACAGACCAGCTGATCAAGGAGAACCTGCGGATGAAGCACTCTACAGACAGATAGGAAAAGCCTCACACTCACAGGCCCTTGTTCTCATGGGGGACTTCAACCACCCTGACATCTGTTGGAGCAACAGTACGGCCCGGCACAAGCAATCCAGGAGGTTCCTTGATTGTGTGGAAGACAACTTCCTTCTGCAAGTAATAGAGGAGCCGACAAGGAGAGGTGCCATGCTTGACCTCGTGCTCACCAACAGGGAAGGGCTCGTTGGAAATGTGGTGCTCCAGGGCAGCCTTGGATGCAGCTATCATGAGATGGTTGAATTTGAGATCCTCAGGACAGTGAGAAGAGCGTGCAGCAAGCTCACTGCCCTGGACTTCAGGAGAGCAGACTTTGGCCTCTTCAGGAACCTGCTTAGTAAGGTTCCATGGGATATAGCCCATAGTTGATATTCAAGGATCACCTGCTACAAGCTCAGGAGTGTTGCATCCCAACTAGAAGGAAGTGCAGCAGGAGGGCCAGGAGACCTCCATGTATGGATAAGGAGTTGCTGAGGAAAATTCAAAGGAAAAAAGAGGCTTATAAAAGGTGGAAGCAAGGACAGGCGGCCTGGGAAGAGTACAGGGATGTTGTCTGGGAAGCTAGGGACCAGGTTAGGAAAGCTAAGGCCCAGTTAGAATTAAACTTGGCTAGGGATGTGAAAGATAACAGCAAAGGATTCTATAGGTACGTAGCGAATAAAAGACAGACTAGGGACAATGTAGGCCCCCTCTGGAAGCTATCAGGAGAACCGGCTCCTCAGGATTTGGAGAAGGCTGGGGTTCTGAATGACTTCTTTGCCTCAGTCTTCACTGGCAAATGCTCTGACCACACCACCCAAGTCTTGGAAGGCAGACGCAGGGACTGTGAGAATGAAGACCTTGGGCCCACTGTAGGAGAGGATCTGGTTTGAGACCATCTTAAAAACCTAAATGTACACAAGTCCATGGGACCTGATGAAATCCATCCACAGGTCCTGAAGGAGCTGGCGAATGAAGTTGCTAAGCCACTGTCCATCATATTTGAAAAATCATGGCAGTCAGGTGAAGTTCCTGGAAAAAGGGAAATATAACCCCCATTTTCAAGAAGGGGAAAATGGATGACCCAGGGAACTACAGACCAGTCAGTCTCACCGCTGTGCCTGGCAAAATCTTGGAGCAGATTCTCCTGGAGGGCATGCTAAGGCACATGAAAAACAACAAGGTGCTTGGTGACAGCCAGCATGGCTTCACTAAGGGGAAATCCTGCCTGACCAATTTGGTGGCTTTCTATGATGGGGCTACAGAACTGATGGACAGGGGTAGAGCAGTTGATGTCATCTACCTGGACTTGTGCAAAGCATTTGACACTGTCCCACACAACATCCTTGTCTCTAGACTGCAGAGACATCAATTTGATGGATGGACCACTCGGTGGATAAAGAATTGGCTGGATGGCTGCACACAAAGAGTTGTGGTCAATGGCTCTGTCCAGCTGGAGACCAGTAACAAGTGGTGTCCCTCACAGATCAGTGTTGGGACCGGTCTTGTTCAACATCTTTGTTGCTGACATGGACAGTGGGATTGAGTGCGTCCTCAGCAAGTTTGCCGATGACACCAAGCTGTGTGGTTCTGTTGATAGGCTGGAGGGAAGGAATGCCATCTAGAGGGACCTTGACACGCTTGTGAGGTGGGCTGATGCCAACCTTATGAAGTTTAACCATGCCAAGTGCAAGGTCCTACACCTGGGTCGGAGCAATCCCAGGTACAGCTACAGGTTGGATTGGATATAAGGAATAAGTTCTTTACTGTGAGGGTGGTGAGGCTATAATGGGTTGCCCAGGGAGGTTGTGAATGCTCTATCCCTGGCACTGTTCAAGGCCAGGTTGGACGAAGCCTTGTGTGGCATAGTTTAGTGTGAGGTGTCCCTGCCCATGGCAGGGGGGTTGGAACTTGATGATCTTAAAGTCCTTTCCAATCCTAACTATTCTATGATTCTAAGACGAGGTGCCCTCTTACGGCTAAATTACCTCCTGGATTCAAAATTGCATCTTTGTGGGTCTGATGATGGTTAAACCTTGATATAAACCTAGTTCTGCAAATGAAATGTCAAAAATGTCTTGATCCATTCCTCACTTGCTATGCTTGTGAGGTGAAAAAAAAGATTCTGTGGGTTTATCCACTTCAGTGGTAGAGCTGTAGCTAGTTTTAATGACACATGCTTTGCTAGTATCAGTTCAGACTTTTTATTCCTGAATTCATAGAATCATCATATGGTTTAGGTTGGAAGGGACCTTAAAGCTCATCCAGTTTCAACCCCCCTGCCATGGGCAGGGACACATTCCACTAGACCATGTTGCCCAAGGCTCTGTCCAACCTGTCCTTGAACACTGCCAGTTATGGGGAAGCCACAGCTTCCTTGGGCAACCTGTTTCAGAGCCTCACTGCCCTCACAGTGAAAAATTTCTTCCTAATGTTTAACCTGGATTTACCCTCTGTGAGAAGCCATTACCCCGTGTCCTGTCACTACATGCCCTGTTAAAAGGTTCCAGCTCTCCTGTAGCCCCTCTTTAGGTACTGAAAGCTGCTCTAAGGTCTCCCTGGAACCTTCTCTTCTCCAGGCTGAACAATCCCAGCTCTTTCAGCCTATCTCCATAGGAGATGAGCTCCAGCCCTCTGATCATCTTCATGGCCTCCTTTGGACTTGCTTGAACAGGTCCATGTCCCTCTTGTGTTGGGGACTGCAGGTGCAGTCTCATGAGAGTGGAGCAGAGGGGAAGAATCACCTTGCTCAACCTGCTGGCCACAATTCCTTCAGAAGCCCAGAGTGCCTGTGGACTTATGACCTTGTACTCAGTACTAGCAAATTAACTCTGAAACAAGCCAGTGATTTCAGTGAAGACATAACATTTAAAATAAGAGTAACTGTATTTAGTCTCTACTTCTTTACGTGTTGTTACTGGGACTTTTTTGTTTGTTTCCAGAAGAGTTTTATGATTAAGAATTACACGAGTTTAGCTAAAACCAACTCTGCAAAAATTGCCATCTGTTTTCTTATAACCAAAATTTTCTTCTATTTTCTTAATAGAAGTGGGTTGGGGAGACCATTGTAGAACATCCCCTTAAAATAAGTGATGGGGTGTTTCCTTTGGTTCTGCAGGCATTTTTTGATCTTGTGATGCTACTGGCATGCTTTCAAGAACATCTCATATCTGGAAAACACAAAACTGAACATTCTACTTCAATTTTCACTCTTTTTCTTTCCTAAATAAATATTACAGGAATTTCCCATTTAAAAAAAGAAGCCCTAACCACTCTATTTGGCTAGAGCTGAGGGAAAAGGTTGTACTTCGGTTCTGAGGGGTTGTAGAACAGGGAGGCGATATAAAGCCGAGAATGCATTTTGCTGGAAAAGTTGCAACTCTCCTTCCACAGTCTTGTTTATTCCTGCTTGTTAATAAGGAAGCAAGCAAATGCAGTATAATTAGAAGTGGTCAGGACCACAGAATACTTAAGTGACTGATTCCTAGCAAAAAACTCTACTTTTTAATATCATTTTGTTTATTCATAAAGGTGTATGGTTGTATCTCAGAACAGCGTACATGCATCTTAGGGAAAAAACAAACAACTAAACAAAACCCAAAAAAAAAGCACAAAAGCATTTGGCTGGGCTCTAAAAGTTGTATATATTTTGCAAGCTTTCAAACACTTGCATCCAATTCCTTAATAATCACATTCCCTTTTTTTTCCCCAAACAGAAAGAGTCTCATCAAAAAATGCTGTCAGGATTGGTGCCTTTAACCTGCCTAGTACTTTACATCCTATTTTATTTCATTATAAATACTTAATATTATTTTGCTGAAGCGAGTACCTCCATGATTGGCAATAACTGATTTCTGATGGCAGCCACGTGATCCAGCTA